ACTGGTCAACAACTCAACTTCATGCCTAACACCAGGTGATCTAAAGTAAATAGAGTAAACTTTCTTCATATTCGTAATATATTACAGGTGTATGCTTGCAATTAAGGACAAATTTGTGCAAATACAGCTATTTATATACTTAAATGCTCGCAGTATATTAATGTGATGTGCTTGCATGTAAGTTTTATGCATTTGTGTATGATTGTATGGATGCACTTAAAGTTGCACACTTGCAACATAGGTGTAACAATGCAAATCCCAATGCCATGTAGCCCACTAAGTAACCAAGTTGCAGAGAAGCAACAAAGTACCCCTAACATAACACATACAAAGCATCAAAAGCTCCTGTATCCGTACCATAACTAGAAAAGTACCATAGTCCTTATTTCATCCATTCAAGTGCTCTTTCCAATTATTTACATTCCGTTATTTCATCCATTTAAGGGAACAATTCTTATTTACACAAATTTATATGCATTCTAACTACAGTAAAGACTTTTGTAAAGCAGCCTCAAATTATGTTTTTTGGAATAAATTGAGTGTGAGATAGAGGGTGTATGTTTATTTCATCTGGAAACCTATAAAACAATCTAAAGAAAAGTAGAGACAAATCAAAGAGACAACCTAATATGAAAGAGTAATTTTGCTATGTTGATGTCAGGTAAAATGAATACGGGCGCAAAGAAATACTAAATCAATTCATCTGGAAAATCCGCAGCAACCAGGGGAAAAAAAATAGAGGCAGTAAAAGAGAAAACCAAAATTTATGTAGATTAATGTCACTTTGTTGGTATCAGGTAAAATGAGTAAAAGTATAGGTAAAATACTAAAGAAACTACATACTGTTTAGCACGTTTTGCATCTGTCTCAGATGCATAAGGCTTAGCATTGGAATTGTCCTTTCTCTCAGAAGAAGCCTTTGGATCATGAAGACCAGAATCAAAATGATCCTGCTTTTCACTCGCTGTAGAGGCAATCCCATCAGCTTCTTGTGGTGTAGATAATGATCTTGAACTCTGAAGAATAATGTTATCCCTGGCAGAAGGAAGGCCGCCCAGGTTATTTACACTATTCAAAGAAGACTCCCATGCTTTATTCTTCTGCTTCACCAAGTTCAGTTCTGTGTATAATGAAGCATGTCGTAAATCTTTTCGAGGGTCAAAGTCTTGAGATCCCCAAGAGGGTGCAGAAATCATATTATGATATTTGTACTCGTCTTGAGTGGCATAATCAAGGTTGGAAGCATTAATTGCATCCACATATGCAAAAGAGTCACTTGATGAACGACGATGACCTCCTCTGCGTATAGGTGTGTCTGGCTCATTAAGGAGATCATCAAGCCAAGAAGGTTGTTCCTCCATAAGTAGGCTCTCGGAGGAAGTCCTCTGGTGATGTGCATTTCCCTCTCTAGGCTTCTGAACAATTTTTGATCCAATTGCAGGACTAAGGACATAATCTGCATATGATGGGGCAACACTAGGAAATGGACTTTTAGGAGGAAGTAAAGGATGCTTTCCGGAATACATAAAATTTCTGATATTTGATGTACTCTTGGAGTTTGCCATTGCTGAAGCACAAACCAGTTCCTGTCAAACGATATAGTGTAAGATGACAGAGGCAGAAAAGGTATACAACATGGAAAACAAATGTATAACTAAAGCACAGTGTTGACAAGCCAATTGATAAATATGTCACCATCAACAAAGGAAAATAGGAAAAGAAAAACATGGGATAAAGTCAATAACTTGCCACTAAACAATTGTAAACAGAAAGAAGACATAATAACTATAACTCTGCTATTAATATCCTTCTCCATGTTGACATGAATACACACCTACATCAATGGGCATGAACACGCCTACTGGAAACTTCAAAATTATCAATACGATTCATAAGGCATACGAGTTTGAAACCCATACATACACACGCTTAAAACACAGATATGCCAGCATAGAAATACATTCAAATGGACAACACTACAACTACCCAACTTTCTGAGCAGTATGGTGATCACGAAGAAACCATTTTCATCGCTATAATAACATCGAAACCCAAATTAACACAAAACTAAAGCTTCCATCCAACTGGGTTTTCTGGTTTCTCCCCATTAAATACCACCACGTACAGTTACACTCTAAATGAATCGGAGGGCCCAACCACAAGGCTAACTGTGTTAATGAAAAGCCAAAAATTCCCAATCACGGACGCTACTGACTCAAACCCTCAAATTTGTTCCTGAAGAAAACATGGAAAGAAAAGATAAAAGATGGAAACTTTTGAATTGAATAGAATCTCCTAAACAAATGAGGTCCTAATCACAGTTGGTTGAGGTGAGGGATTCGGTTTTCTCAGCCCCAAACAACAAAAATCTTCAGAGATTCAAACCTGCAAAGCTCATTTCAGTTTCCCACATTTTCTCATCAGACAAACAGACAACGAATCTCACAATTTCCGAAATGAAAAATCACAGATAGAGCCCTCAAAAATCATCATTTGCAACGAAAAGATAATCATCAAGTGATTTATTCGACGAAATGCTGAGAATGTGTGCGATTATCAGCAAAATTAATCACAAACAGCTGCTGATTTGACGAAACACAGAAACGGAGATACACGCGCACGAAGCTAAAAATGCTTCCTTTTGCTTCGAGAAAATACACACAAACATATATATATTTATATATATATGCGTGTGTGTGTGTATTGATTACCTGTAGTGAACGAACAATCGAGATCTTGAAACGCAATGATCGAAGAATCAGAGATGTTTATCTGTCCTAGGGTTTCTGAGATATCAATGATTTAATACCCCTCTTCTCTTCGGAGAAGAAGCTCTCTCTCTCAATCTCTCTCTCCTCTCTCTCTCTATCTCTCTCTACTATTTCTTCTGGTTAATGTCTGGGGTTTGGATTGAAATTATATTTTGTTTTGTCCCTTTTAATTTAATTTATTATTTAAATGTTTTTTGTAAAATTTAATTGTCAACTTTGTATCTTTTGGATGCACAGCCTTGCAAGTTGCAAGTGGCGCCTTTTTATTCTCCCTTTCCAGTTCATTTTTGCCTACCTAAAATCCTATTCTGGGATTAAAGATGGTCAACAAAGTTGAAACCACAGAGAAATTTACATTTCATAACCGAGTTTTTTGTTTCTGAGACCCTTTTTTTTATAATTCTATAATTATAAATAATGTGCGGATTTAGTTCTTGAATCGTTACAGTTATTATTTACTGTGATTCTTTTTAGAATAATGCGTTGGTTTAGTCTCTGAATTATTAATTCAACTTCTAAACTATTTTTTTTCTTCAGAAAAGTAAGCCCTTTAACTCATTAAATTTGCCAATTGCATTTCTACTATAAGACTCAAAGCTATTTTATTCAAATTTTCGTCGAGTCACGTAACTTACATGTAATACATTTTAAAGTATACGTTAATAGTTTTAATGTGTTTAAGAACTTATTTTCTTGAAAAAATAATGTATAGAGTTAAATTTGGAGGGTATGTCAGCAATTTGATTCGTAATATAAATGCAATATTAATTGCTTATTGACAAGATAATAATAGTATTACTCCATAAAGTGTGTTATCTATAAGTAACATGGCTTAAATTGATGAAACATTGGATAGATTGTTTTGAATCTTATAGTAGGGATGAAATTATCAGTTTTAATGATTTTAAGGACTAGTTTAGAAACTTAACTTTCGCTTAAGTAATAATTAGGAACCAAATCGAAATGTCAGTTCACCATTTTTAGGGGTAGAAAACCTAGAGACTGAGATCATCTTGTTCTCTTGGTTATTTTTTAATCAGAAATCTAAGGGTTACAACATATTTTACTATAGTCTTAAACAAAATGGGTGAATTTTTACAGACATTTAATAACCATTTCAGTTTTTAGTTTTTAGGTTTTGGTTTTTTTTTTTTTTAATTTAAAAAAATTATAATTAAAAAATAGTTACCAAACAACCATTTAGATTTATAAATGAACATTTGGATTAAAAGTAAGTATACTAGAGAACTCAATTTCAACACATACTTCGATATTCCCAAAACGAGTTTGACTCTCTTTTTATTTTGTGAAAAGAATTGAAGTGATAATAATATTCTCTTCAATCAATAATTTAGATTATTATAAACCCTAATTCCCGAACCAACAATAATCTAACCCCAATTTAGAATGTTAATAGTGTTAGTAGGGCCATTTTAACTTTTCTTTGTGGACTTATGCAACTTTTTTGCACACAAGCATTTCCTTTGGTTTTATTTTCTTATTACAAACGCAAAGTATAAATGAACAATGTGGAGTGAGTTGTTGACAACGACATTTATCATCTCAACATAATTAATTAGTTAATTAATCAATTAATTGATTAATCAATTAATTAATCAAATTAAATTGATTAATTAATCAATTAATTAATTTAATTAATAGGGTATTGACAAATAGGAAGAGTGAGAGGAGGAGTCGGCACTTAAAAAGTGCATGATGGGAGACAGCCAATTCCTCATCAATAAAGTCAGCAACAAGATAACAAATTCGGTAGAATATAAATCAAACATGTCCACATTTATTCAACCTAATTTGGAAAGAACTTGGCTGCTGAAGTCCTACTTACAACCAATCCAGGATGGACACGTGTCCAAGTTTTGATTAAAAAAATTCAAATTTGAACACGTGTTCATCCCGGATTGGTTGTAAGCAGGATCGGCTGTTGAATTTACAGCAGTCAATCCCAAACCCTAAACGGTTGGATTGTCGAAATTCACTGTAGATTAGGCCCCAGAAGGTGCCTCTTTTTGGGATCCCTATGTATACACGCATACAAATGATATTGAGCAAGGAAAGTTTTGAACTCGAAACATCGACAGCAGAGAGTATGCTCTTAAACAATAACAAAGAGCACCAATTTGAACTCGAAACATCGACTGCAGAGAGTATGCTCTTAAACAATAACAAAGAGCACCAAGCACGACCTAATTACGCCAAACTCACAAAACGTAAGGAAACCATCACCGAAATGACGTTAATTTTGAGCCAAGAAAACTGATTCATCTGTTTAACATGTACAACACTATACTAACCTACATGCCGTGTAATTCGAAATGAATCTGGCAGCATACGAAGTCCTGAAATCCGTAAAAAAACTCCTTGTGCTCATACAACATGTAAACACAAGCTTACTTACAAAGCCACTGGTTAAGGGTTCGTAAATAAGTTTGCGAATCTGAGTACTATCTACAACAGATGACAGGCTCGACTCATGTATCAAGCAGCTTCTTCCACCTGGCATACCCGAATATGAGAAAGAAGAGTAACACAGAAAATGCCGTAATACCCCCAACAAAGGGCTCAAATATCCCTTTCTTGGTGTATAATATACAGGGGATGTTCATACCAAATATACCAGATATCAAGGTCTCCACTGCTATCGCAAATGATGCAATGGTCAATGTCAACTGGAGCTGAATGAGTTCGTTTCGTTGGTTATCAAGTTGTATATTGACATAATCCTCCGTGTCATCAATATACTCCCGCACCTACATCCAATGAACACAATACGAACATGAGCAGTATTCAAGGACGGATTAACACAATAACCAATCATGCTTAACATGCACAACTAACTGGTTTCTAAATTACAATTCTTATATACCAATGACAGTGAAATTAGTTCCAACTGGGAACCCACAAGAGGTCCAAAGCCTCCAAAGTATTCCAGGAGCAAGTGCAACCACAGAACTCTTACAGAAAATCTGCAACATTTAAGAAATCTAACCTAAAATTCATTATCTAGAACTGAATCAAAGTTGATGCAACTGCATTAAAACACAAGCTAACGGTGACAAATGATATTTAATATTGTTTTGTAAAACGTTAAGTTCTCCGGGACAAGATCCTTTAAGAAGCATTTGTGTAAACTGAACTTAATAGTCAAGTTCTATAGTATAAAGTTGTTATAGTAGGTCATAACAATTAGCACTCACAGATAATATTTTGTTACGGGTTCCGTCCAGTTGCATAAAATATGCCTCAAGCAGCATCTCTAGATCTTCTACGTCATCGTAATCCATATTGTTACCGTTTACCAAGCTCCCACTTCTGTTAGAACTAAGCCGACGTAAATAGGGTGCGGATATGCTATTTGAAGCAGAACGCCCCAACAAAGCCTCAGGCTGTTGATTCTGCATCCATTTCCTTGTTAAATATAAATGTGCCATATCTTCATTGTCATCCAACAAATGTTCGAGTTCATCCCTCACCTGAAATCAGACAGACACACGCTTCTAACTCAAAAGGAACTAAAAATATAAATATTAAATAGTGGCATACAGAGAAACATGTATGCTAAGTCCCCATTTTACAGAAACTTTTTCTAGCATATTGTCAAATAGTAAGGAGTATCCACTTCTCTTTGTACTCCTGCACAATCTAGAAACAGCTAAAGCCTCAATCCCATGCACCACACAAATTCAATCCCACGCACCATACAAATTCAATCCCACTCTGACATCTAAGTATAAAAGGATTCTATCAAGTTGCCATGAGAAATGTACATTTTTCAGCTAAACTTGACGCCTCTTCCCTCGCAACAGTCATATAAAGTAAGTTATATGGATGTTGGTTTTGCCACCCCATCAAGTAGAAACAATTTCAAGAGAAGCCCCCTGTCGATCAATTTGCAACACAATAAGACCTAACTCCTGATACGATTCACTTCATATGCACTCAGTTATACAGGCTAACAATGTCAGTACTATAACCAGAACAAGTCTAAAGGAAGCGTGGTAATAAAAATCTCATCAGAAATATCTTATTATTCACCAGAACATGAGGGCCTTCAAAAATTATTCAAACCTTCATGTCACTTACACATAGGAGGATTTAGAAAATGGAACTCTGTCATCTCAAACATCATAATTTCAATTTCCTAAACCCTTTTATATTTACTTGTGCATTAAACTTAGGCTAAGGTTTGATTTAAAGTTTGGGCCTTAGATACCAGAAACCTTTACTATTCTTCATATGGCATGAATGCAGGAAAGGCTATGAATTGACAAACATTTTAACTCCAAGTTGCGTCAGGTTATTAATTCCCGACATAATTGAAATTAGACATGCAGCATAGCAAATCATCTGAAAAAATATAACAAAGAAAATGATGACAAATGATATCCCTCAAGAAGAAGGGTTAAGCAAACATACCTTCTGTACACGTCCAAGCAAACGCGTAAGAATGCTTTTCAAACTCCTCACAAGTTCAAGGTTCTTGGTGCTAACATTTCTAGCCAGTTCATCTAAAACAGGGTAGGCTTCTCTCTCAAGGTCTGCCACACTAGAATTCAAGTATGTACAGACAACTTCTAATGCAATCTCCAGAACCTGAAACTCAAATGGGAGATCACACTGCACACCTTCAACGGCTTCAGGAACAGGTAACCATTGCTTTCCGCTCGAAACAATCATTCCACTAGCTAGTTCATCAAGTGGACTTGCTTCTTCTATCCTGGATTGCCTTTTCTGAGGAAGTTGTTGCCTTAGCTGATCCGCAAACGGAAGAACCTCCTGCCGAAGAGGATCAAGCAACAAAACCTCTTCCGCTGTAACTATAGCCTTTATAAACTCTAAATTAACCACCATGGCCTTCTCCCTAGCTGCAATTGAAATGAGAAAACATATTTCCATTGGTCATCATGGTCTGCTATGGCTACACAATTAAAAAACCAGCAAATAAGGTAACCCTAACCCTAATGAGAATTCACATATAAGATAAAAAAAGGGAGGAGGAGGAGGAGGAGGAGTACCAAGGATGCTGGAGGAATGGGAGAAGACAGGGCCAAGAATCCTCAAGTCCCGGGCGGGAATGGCGGCGCGTCGAATAATAGCATTCTTGTCACACTCGACGAGCTCTGATCCGCCAAAGCGGTCAAACCGCATCCAAAGCCTGGCTCCTCCGGCCTTCTTCTTCCCCTTCACGCCACCGCCGCCAGCAACAACCGCGTTCAGATTATTATTATTGTTGTTGGTATTGGTACTGTTGATATGGACATTGGAGAGGGGAGGAGATCGAAACGGCTGCGGCGGCGAGGGAAAAGGGGAAGGGGGAGGGCCAATGAACTTCTTGGGGGGGCGGCGGCGGATGCTGCTGCTGCGCTTGAAAGAGAAGGGACCCTTCCCCATTTTTGCTTCTCTTTCTCTTCCCGTTCCGTGTGTGTATTTAAGCGAGTCATGGATCTTTTACTTCCCCTTCTTCTCTCCTGCTCCGACTCCGACTCCGACTCCGCCTCCTCATCATCCCCAGCCGCTTGCTTCTTTCACGTTCTCTCTCTCAACTCCCAAACACACTTTATTTAGTTTTTAATTGTTTTTCTATATAATAAGGAACGCAGGAATTTTATTGGCACCGGCTGCCACAGACACCTTTTGTGTGCCGTGGGCCGTGGCGGTGAGGTAAAGTAAGGAGATGTATTTAATTGAGATTACGTGGGTTTTTAATTTTTTTAATGAATTTAGGGATATTTAATTAGGATTTTAAGTGATTTTTTTTTAAATTTAAGGTGTATTTAATTAGAATTTTCAATAGGTTTATAATATTTCATGTATATTCAATTAGAAATTAATTTTAAAGAATTTGAGAAAGTTGAGAAATTAGAAGGAATTAGAGAGATTTCGTAGTTTATTTTAAGCATCCACAAATCACCTCTCCCCATGACAGAATTGAATGAAAATTTTATTTGGAATCTCTACAAATCAATTAAACTCCATAAAAATCCATGGATTTATAAATCCATTAAAATCTCTCAAATTCTCAATTGAATACACCCCCTAAGTGTTATAATACAATTGATTGAAAATTTAAAAATAAATAAACAATTGTATCAGGAAATTTGGAGTATCGGGCCATGTTTTCGATAGCAAGTGTAGCGTGTAATGTAAGTTGTAATCATAGTTAAACTCATCTAACTTAAGAATATATACACACAATCCCTTTAAGGGAAGGAATTTCTATTTTTATTTTTTAAATTGAGATTAGTTATGAGACGCACTTCACATCAAACTTCAACTCTATAAATATAGTTTCTCGTGACTGTATCTGAAATTTCATATTTATAAAGCAAATCTTACAATTTTATTCAGGAAAAGAAAAAAAAAACAAAGCAAAGACAAAATAAATTGGCACAAAGACTCCATCTGTATAGCAGAAAAGTAGAAACAAACCACACAAAACGCCTCTAACGGCTGAAAAATAGTTAATAACATTCAACAATTGCAGCATAGAGCTTCTTCACAATGCGATTTTGGAACTGAGAAAATGCATTGCTCCATGGCACATTAGACAACAATGAACCAAGAACAATCCAAAACCCGAATGCAAATCCAAGCCCCAAGCTCAAATAGAACCCACCATCTTCAAGTAAATAACCTTCTACGTGCTTGTCATCACCTACCGGTGGCATGGCCTCATTTACACTGCAACGCTCTTTCAATGGAGGTCCGCATAGTTTGTTGCCAACATAACTAGACTGATCAAAGCTCTGAAGCTGAGTGCTTATCGGAATCTGCCCTATCAGCTTGTTATAGGACAAATTCAGATAACTGAGAAATGTCAAGTTCGATATGCTTGGAGAAATTTCACCAGAAAGTTGGTTCACGGACAAATCAAGTGACTCTAACATTTTCATATCACCGATTTTGGAAGGGATTCTTCCAGTCAGAAGATTATTGGATAAATTCAATGTTTGCAAGATAATGAGGCTGGTCAGCTCTTCGGGGATTTCTCCAGATATCATGTTGCTTGAAAGGTCCAAGCTAGTTACCAAACGAAGCACTGTGTCATATTTCACTTCTCTGCCTTTGGTCACAAAATCCACATTCTCTATGTAGGCCTTATCAATCATATAATTAAAATAAGACGCATCTTCAATACTGGTACCTCCTTCGCTTGAAAGGGTAGTGGCCATGGACGAAAAATTTTGGAAGCATCTTGGTATCGTTCCCGAGAGATTGTTATAAGCAAGGTCCAAGATTTGGAGATTTGTGAGACTGCAGAGTTCATCTGGAATGAAACCATGGAACTTATTTGAACGAAGACTAAGAACTACCAAGCTTGGACCAAACCATATTGGAATGCCTCCAGCAAACTTGTTTCCAGCAAGGTCAAGAACAAACAACTGCTGACAATTTTGTAAGGACACGGGTAATTCTCCAGATAGGCTATTATTGCGCAAGTGCAATGATCGAAGCGAAAGTAAGTCTCCAATAGAGCTTGGAATTTTCCCTGTCAAATTGTTGTCTTCTAAATTCACAGTTGTCAAGTTTGGCCAGTATGACAGACAATCAGGAATTTCTCCATCGAGGAGATTGTTTTCAAGATGAAGAACTCGAAGTTTTTTAGGTACATCACTCCTATCACAAAAGAAGTGAGAGAGAGTTCCCGAAAATGATGAATTGGAAAGATCTAGAATAGACACTGCCGAAGACACAAGAGGCAATGAACCGTTGAACTGGTTCGATCTTAAGTCAATTACAAAAAGGAAACCCATAGAGGAAGAATTGGAATCCTGTTTTGGTTTTGGCCAGTTGGCAGAAACTATGTTTGGAACCTCCCCGGACAATTTATTACTCGAGAGATCCACATAGTTTGCTGAATCATATGAAATGATGTTCCAGAACCAAGTCGGAATGGTACCTGAAATTCCTGTATTGGACATGTTAAGAGAAAACAACTGATTTTGACTTTGAAGCCATGTAGGCAACTCTGATGGGTCCAGACGCCAAGAACCTAAACTCAAGGTAAAAAGTTGAAAAGGAGGAAACCAGTCATAGTTGGTTTTAAGAGTCAAGGAGTTATCATGTGCAATAAACGTTTTCAATCTTGTAAGATTTGTAAAATGAGCTTCAGAGACAACAGCCTCGAATGAATTATGATCAATGCTCAAGTATTGTAAGCATGATAGATTTCCTAAGGACACCGGAATGAGACCTGATATAGAATTATACGAAAGATCAAGATAACTTAAATTTTTAAAAATTCCTAGCATACCAAATAAATGACCTGAAAAATTATTATTCCGAAAATCTAAAAAATCTATTTGATCAAAACTACACCGAGACAAACTTTCTAAGATTTCTGATACCCTCCCCCTAAAATTGTTCCTCCTTAGACCAACCGAAGTCAACCTACAAAGATTTCCCAATGAGTTTGGGATTTCCCCTTCAAGCTCATTCCCACTTAATTGAAGATCAACTAAGGCTGTCAAGTTTCCTAGGGAACTCGAAATTTCACCATGGAAAGCATTGAAAGAAAGATCGAGGGACTCAAGATTGCCCAAACTGTACAACCATGTAGGTATGGTAGAGTTGACATCATTGAGAAAAAGATCAAGAACTTTAAGATTTGTCAAGTTCGCAATACCACTTGGCATGTGATGAAGTTCGCAGCTAGCAAAATGTAACTCTACCAGCAGAGAAGGGAGTGGGTTTACTTGTAACCAACGAGATGCGTTGGTAAGATCTACACCAGTCATGTCAAGATGTTTCAACAGAGAAAGACCAGAGAGCCATTCAAGATTCTCGACCATCAAATCAGAGGTTCTAGAAAGGTCGAGATAACGTAGACTTGAGAGATTTCCCAACTGATGAGGAATGGTTCCGTTGAACCCTGCAGCCGAGAGATCAAGATATCTTAAACGTTTAAGAGAACCCAAAAAGCTGGGAATCTGCAGTCCTTCAAAATTGTTGAAGCTTAAGTCCAAGTGGCTGAGATGCTTTAAATTCAGTAGAGAAGGATTTACCTTGCCACCCAGCCCACGGTACTCACCATTCACTTCATCATGATAACCAGCAAGGTGGAGCTCACGGACATGACCGGTTAAATTACTGCAGGCAACACCGGTCCAGTTGCAACAATCGCCTTCACCATCCCAAGAGGAAAGCATATTTGAAGAATCATTGAGATCTTTCTTGAACATAAGAAGTGTTTGTCTCTCATTTTCTTTGCAAGGCAAATGGACCAGGTTTCCATTGCATAAGGTAAGTGTAAAAGACGCAATGGATAGAAGAAAGGTGAGTAGGTAAACAAGTCTCATGACTGTCATCGTATAGATATGGAGTAGGTGATGGATGTGAGGAATGAGTAATTTAGAGTAGTGCTATATATACACACGTTAGTAAAGAGTAAAGGTCCAACCTTGGCCCTACTCTTTATATTTACTACAAATCATTTTTCTACATCCCTCCCGGCAAAGACGGAAGCGGGTCAAGAGATTTAAGACAGAAAGGATGGTCCATCCCCAAAACAAATTCTAGGCAGTGATGGATATGGTTCATCCCCAAAGAAACGTCAGGACCATATATAGCAATAATTGATCTACTTAAATTAGTTTTAAAAATCATTTTCCGGAAGAGAATTGAAGTATAGATTGACGAGGCCGAATGCCCTTATTTTACTCTACTACTATTGGATATTTAATTCAGAAAATTATAATTAGATGCGTCATTGTAGACATTTAGAAGTGAGTCAAGTCATTTTTCTACATCCAGACCTACAAAGTCGTTATGGAAAAATTTAGGGGTAAATGAATTTTAATCCTTGTATTAGATTAATTTTTCATTAAAACCTGGTGTAGTATTAGTTATTTGATCTTGGTCCTCCATGTCATCATGATTACTATAACTCATATTTTGTTGTTTTTAAACTCCTTAATGGCTCTTTTTGTTCCCATTGTGCCCCTATAATTAATTATTCGACCTTCTTGGTATGTTCCACAGTATTAGAAACTAATTTTGACTTTGATTAATTGATTTCTTCCATGATTTATATATGGTGCCTGGAAAGATTTTTCATATCATCATGCCTAAATTACAAGATGAAAAAAGTTAAGGTATCAAACGTATAACACACCAACAAAGTGTGTGTATCTAAATATTAGTACCTAGTTGAAAAAACCTAATCATAGTATCTAGTTGAACGCATCTAAATCATAGTACCTAATCGAATGTATCTACGTTATAGTACCTAATCAAATTTATCTAAATTATCGTACGTACCTAATCGAATGTATATAACTTATCGTACTTAATCGAATACAAATGCAATAGATCAAACCCAACTCCAAACTCAACAATTCATACACTAATAAAATGATCAAAACCCAATAATAAAATCAACCGTACTAAATAACAACAAAAAAAAAAAAAAAAAAACCTAATATAATAAGAAATATCACAAGCGCAATGCCACAAAAAAAGTTACTGAAGTTGAACCCATTCTCTTCGTTGCAAATCGTTGGAATCCACCTAGTAACACAAGCCATATGCCCTTCAAAACCAACGGAAAGAAAATAGAGAGAGACCTAATGCAAATGATGAGAAAAAAGGGGAAAATCGTAATTAGCAAATGTATGTGAAGAAATCAGCCAATATATGGATGGTTGCCTCATCTCTTTTTCAATTGCAGAAGCCTAATCTCTTTTTCTAAGGAGAAGCTTAATCTGTCACTCAGTACTACGGTCTGGTGGTATTTATCTTCACTTGGAAGTGAGAGGTCTTAAGTTCGAATATCGTGGATGACGAATTCGATACAAAATTAGGTTACACATTGTGTGGCTTAGCCGAATTCTCCCTCGATGTACTAAAAAAAAAAAAAAAGAAGAAGCCTAATCTCTAATTCATTTGATGTTGCATCTTTAAATGCTCATTTCGAATTTAAAAAAAAAAATTCATTCAATTGTGAAACCATTCTAAAGCAATACTTAGGGGTAATATAGGATAAAACATAGTAAAATTACATAAAAGAAATTAAATATGACGTGTAAAAAAAATGATGATTTGGACACGAGTCAAAGAACTAAAATTAGTTTTTAATCATTCTTACATTATTTATCTAAAAGTAATCATTTTTAAGGACTAAAATTTAGTTTTCTTAAAAATTTATATGTCGGTCAAAAACATGTGGTTGCAAAATTTGATATAACTTTCTTAGAGTTATGATTTTTGAGGAATGACCAGTCCTCAGATCGAAGGATTTATTTGTTGATCAATTAAATTTTATTTTGGTCGATCTGACAATTTTCCTTTTTCTTTTTTAGATGAAAATTAATAACTATTTTTTTCTGGAAAATAAAATAAAATAAAATTCCTTACTTTTTTCATCATTCATCTCTTTTAGTGGTAGACAATGTTCTGCCCTAATTAATTAGGAGGAGAAAAAAAAATAAACAAGATGTTTGGAACTAAAATAAGTTTGGCCCAATGATTTTATTTCACTCAAGTACCAATGGCTATTTAATTTCAACAGAAGAGAACAGTAATCGAGGCCCAGGATTTGAAAGTACTACACACATTGCGTTGTAGGCGACAAACACCCTTCAAGCTATACATTTAACCCAATCGGATTTTACTGAGGAAAAGCTACGTTTCGATGGCATTTTTGTAGTTTTTGAGGAGATGAAAGCTCAAGTTGCAATGTAAGTTCTTATCTTATGTCATTAATCACATCAACAACTGGGAGCATAAAGAATTATTTTGAGAGTAAAAAGCTTAAACTAGATGAAATGTATGTTCTATATAAAGCAGCATAAACAAAGAAGAAAACGACACTCAACTTACAACTAAAAAAGATTTTAAAGCTCTGCAGCCTACTTTCTTTCCAATTCCTTTTGTAATCTTTGTACTTGTATTCATGTTTAAGGCGTTGCTACATTGCATGCAGTATCGATTTCTTTTAAGAAAAATTCTTTTCAAATCACTTCATCAACCTGTACGAACTTCTCGACTAGCAAGAAAGTTTGCCCGAATGGGTCCAAACATGTCTGTGTATCTCTTGTATTTTGCATCTCTTTCAAGTTATTACTTTGTAGTTGGATATTTTCTAAGCATCTAACATTATTTCCCTTCTATTCTTTCATTTTCATAGTCTTCGATGCATTTATGTAAACATATCCATGTGAGAATTGCAAACTGAATTCAACTAAGAGGCAATCAATCTGTGTCTTTCAAGTAATTCGATTCATAACTTAAAAATCACATTATGTGCTTTTCAAGTAATTTGATTCATAACAATTGATAGTTCAACATTAATCTTGCATAATATTCTAGAGCTGATCGTAATTCTTGTCTTAAGATGGTTTTTTTTTTTTTTTTTTTCCAAAGAAACATATGATTGGAGGAGAAGTCTTTGCTCAACCTTGGAATTTTGTGAAAAGAACTTCCTTTTTCTACGTCCATCCCCCACAAAGATGGCAGACAAAGTGGTTGTGGAAAATTTATAAGTCGGTCAGCAGAAAAGTTGTTGTAAGGCATGCAGACGGTAATAGTTGAGCAACTTGAATGGGCAAAGAAAACCCAAACCACAAGAAATGAGAGAAAAAGGAACATGACACGTTCCCGTGTTTCACCTTGTTTGCAAATTGCAAGGCGCACACAGATTTTCTTTACATAGCGGCTCGTAATGCGAGAGACGCGTAGTAACATGAGAAATACAACTCAAAGGTATTAATTTTATTTCATAATAATTTCATTTCATTTCATTCATCGTAATATATTTTGTTGTAAACTAATTTTTGTTATACAATACATTTCGATATACTTTGTCTTCTTCATTTAGGCACATTAAATTAATTATAATGCATTTCGGTGCATACATTTAGGTACACATATTTCGGTACATACATTTCGATACAAACATTTAGGTACACTGGTTCAATATAATACATTTCAGTACATATATTTTGGTACATACATTTCGATGCATTTATTTCGGTACACACATTTAAGTACATTAATTTAATATAATAATTTTGGTGCATACATTTCAGTACTAGCATTTAGGTACATTAATTGAGTCTTTCAAGTTTGAAGAATGTTAAATAAAATTAATAAATTAAAAAAAAAAGAACTTTGGTCAAAAAATAAATTAAAATGTGTTTATTAATAAATTTAATGGGAGAAATTGAATAAAATACACATTAATTATTTTGAATTAAGGTCATATCAAAGGACTATAATCAATATGTAATATAATACCAGATTTATTTTAAATTTTAATATTCTTCAAGGATTAAAGTTAGAAAACCCCTTAAAAAACTATTAAAAACCTTACTTCAAGAATAGCCATATAAGTGAGATTAAATTTTTACTGTTAGATTCTTTGATCTAACTTAGGTTTTTAGTATTACATTTTCATTTTATTATTTATTGATTGAAATTTTTTTTTTCACGGGAATCGGGTCGTGTCATATTATTCGTTAATATTAACTGGTCAGATCATATTACTGTTCATTTTAACGCACGACACTTTAGATATTCAGTATGTCACAAAAAGGACACGAACACAAAAAATACAACACAAATGCCCTACACTTTATTGGTTTTAAAATTTCCCCTTAAACGATTAATCCACTTTATTGGTTATAAAACGTCGGGTCATTTTTCTACATCTAGACCTACAAAGTCGTTATGGAAAATTTTTTGTCGGTCAAAATCATGTCGTTGCAAAAATTCTACTTTGTTGGTTTTATGAAATACATGTCCTTTTTGAGGAATGAGCAGTCCTCAGATCGAAGGATTTATTTATTTATCAATTAAATTTTATATTGGTCGATCTGAATATTTTCCTTTTTTTATAGATGAAAATTAATAACTATTTTTCCTTGAAAATAAAATAAAATTCATCACTTTTTTCATCATTCATCTCTTTTAATGGTAGATAATGTTCTGCCCTAATTAATTAGGAGGAGAAAAAAAAAATAAACAAGATGTTTGGAATTTTACGTAATGAAACATATAATGGTAGATAATATTCTATCGCTCCTATTTCTTTTTTTGTCTTAAGATGGTTTTTTTTCTTTCCAATGAAACATATAATTGGAGTCCAAGTTTTAGCTCAACCTTGGAATTTTACGTAAAGAGCTTCCTATTTCGACATCCAACCCCACAAAAGTGATGGTCCATCCCCAAAACAAATTCCAGGCAGTGATGGTTCAAACTTGATCCACAAAGAAAAGTCATGTAGTTGTAATCAGGCATGCAGATAGCAATAATCTACTTGAGTGGGCAAAGAAACCCAAGCAAGACATGCCTTGATCCAAACCACAAGAAATGAGAGAAAAAGGAGCATGACAAGTTCTTCTTTGGCGGCCTAGCAATGGGCCACATAAGTGTAGCT